AGCGTAGTGCCTAAGGCACTTGACTGCTAACCAGAAGGCTGGAGGTTCAAACCCACCAGCCACTCCTCGGAAGGAAGATGGCGCAATCTACTTCCGTAGTGATACTGCCTCGGAAACCCAGGGAGGGGTCGCTATGAGTCGGGTCCAACTCAATGGCACATAACAACAACAACGACATAGGACAGAGTAGAACTGCCCCATAGGGTTTCCAGGCTGTCAGTCTTTACGGAAGCAGACGGCCTCATCTTTGTCCCAAGGAGTGGCTGGTGGGTTAGTAGCTCAATGCTTAAACCACAGCCCCACCAGAGCTCCTTTCCATAAAGATTACAGCCTTGAAAACCCTCTGGAGCAGTTCTTCTTTGCAACACGTGGGGTCTGCGTGAGTCAGAATCAACTTGATGCCACAGAGCTGCCTGCTGGCAGCTGCCTCACCTGTCTTAACGGTTGTGTCACCAGGTGTCTTAACTTAAAGACAGTACATGCAACCATGGATTGGCACAAAACCATGGATTGGCACAATGACCTTGACGAAGGACTCAAACATGCCAACGAGGCACACGATTGGGTAGTATCTTGTCACAGAGTGTTACCGGAGCCGCCAAGGGAAATGCTAACGCCAAGCAGGATGGTGGAAGAGGAAGGACTTTTATTTGTTTGTGCACAGACTCAGTGGGTTCATATCCAGAGATTGAGCCCCGAACATGGGCTTTTATGGGGTTCTTCCTCCGGGGTATTCAGGGTAAAAGGGTGATTGGTTACCTGCAAAAAGAGCACCTGCAGCTAGCAGTTTTTACAGAAGCTAAACGTGCCTGAGAGGAAGTCAGGAGGGGGAGTACAGGCAGAGGAAGAAGGGAGGGGAGCAGGACAGGAATTCTCCACTCTCTATACGTGGTTTTTCAGGCTGGCTCGAGCCAGAGGTCTCTTGCCTCACAACAACTTCCCTACTTAGGTTGGGCAAAGGTTCTATTGCAACAAAGGTGAATTCATCGTTAACGTTTCTTCAGTTCTCCTTTCTCGCCTCAAGAACACAAGACAACAGCCTCGCCCACCTGCAAACTGTCCTTCCCAGAGCCCTTTCCTGGGGCCAGGTCTGTCCAGCCGCCCCAGGCTGCTGGGTCAGCCCTGCCCAGCCACTTGTCTGCAGAAAGAGGACAGGACAGAGGCGGGCAGAGGCGGGAGAGGCAGCCAGGCCAGTGTGTCGGGTGCAGAGGCACTCAGCCAGCTGGGCACAGAAGGGAACCATGGCTGGCCTGGGGCTGCTGCTGCTGCTCCTGCTGCTGTCCCCACCGTCACTATGGGCCTCCTCGCTGTCACAGCCAGACACCCCGGAAGGCAACGCCACCATTGCAAGCCTGATCCTGTCCGCACTGGAGCGGGCCACTGTCTTCCTGGAGCAGAGGTTGCCTGAACTCAACCTGGATGGCGTGCTGGGCTTCCGTGTGCTGCAAGGTGGGTAGGCCTTCCCCAGCCTGGCCCCGGGAGCTGCACCCTGCCCAGCTGCACTCTGAACCCTTAGGAGCCAGTGAGTAGCCTGCTTCGGTTCTAACAAAAGGAACAGAGGGGTAGCCTGCTCCTCGTGGGTACCTGGGGCCCAGCTGTCATCAAAGTTTTACGCTTAGGAAGGATTTCAAGGCAACATGAGAAAAGAGTTGGAGATTGTTTTTTTTCCCAGGGGACGATCCACCGGGCAGCCCCTTGTGGCCTGCTGCTAACAAGGGAAGCGGCAGGAGTGTGTCCTTCCAACAGGCATTTACGGGGAAGCCTCTTTCCTGAGGGACAGTGGTCCAGGGACCAAGCTGGAGACCCTCAAGACCAGATCCCAACCCCAGCTTCCTCCACTCCCAGCCAAAGCCACCTGGAGGTTCTGAGAAAAATTAGTTGTTTGTTCAGCTTTGGGAGGTTTCAGATCCCTGAGAGGTGAGCCGGAGGTGGGCCAAGGCAAACAGGGAGCCAGCCCCACACCCTCTCCCCACACCCTCCTCCACTTCCAGCCTCACCACCTCTTCACCCCCCCACCACCACCTTGAGGGAGCGCCTCCCTGCAGCTGCCCGGGGGGGGGGTCAGCTCACCAGGCTGGCTCTGAGCAGTAGTCACCTTCCCTGTGGGGCAGCACAGTTCCCACCCTCCTGGGAACTCAAGATTCAGCAGGAGGTAGGGCTCCAGGGCAGGTCTGCCTCTGTCCCTGGGGCCACATTGTGGTTTCGTGGCCACGTCGCCTTCCCCAAGGTCCCTTCGGCACCCATCCTGAAGAGCCTCAAGACCTACTGCTGCCCCCACCACCACCAACAGCAGGGACCAGCATCAATCAAGGGAGATGCCCAAACCCATTGCTGTTGAGTCATTCCAACTCTTAGCAACCCTATGTGACAGACTAGGACCCCCTTATCAGGGCTGGGTAGCATAATGCCTAAGGCACTTGACTGCTAACCAGAAGGCTGGCGGTTCAAACCCACCAGCCACTCCTCGGAAGGAAGGTTGGGCAATCCTACTTCCGTAGTGATACTGCCTCGGAAACCCAAGGAGGGGTCGCTATGAGTCGGGGCCGACGCGATGGCACATAACAACAACAACAACATTTTGGGGAAACACAATTCAGTCTGCAATAGTCCCAGTCACAGATACCATGGTTAGGACTTGGAGATCTCTTTCTTGAGAGACAAAAATCAACCTCCCGCAGTCAGCATCCTAACTGAGCACATTCCTCCCTGTGCTCCCTCCCAGAGCAGCTCCAAGGCGCTCAGAAGCAGTGGGCGGGGGACCCCCGGCTGCAGCTGCTGAGTGTGCGCACGCAACGGCTGGAGAGGAAGCTGGGGACCCTCCTGCGCAGAGCCATTTCCTACCTGAGGCAGAGTGACCCCATCTACCTACAAGGTAACTGCCCAGGTGGAGCCCACTTCTTCAGGAATGTGGGGTCTGGGGGTGTCTACTGAAATAACCTAGTGCAGGCTCCTCAGGTGCAGGGGAGGGGCTGGGACCACCCGTAACTACAGGCGGACCCTGGGGAAGGTCCAGGTGAGAGGGCACCTTCCTCCCACTCGGAGGGGCTGGAGAGCAGGCAAGGAGTCTGCCTCATCTATCAGCTCGCCTCCAGGGTTGGGGGTCTCTTCCTAGACCACTGGTTTGTCCCAGAGGGTAGAAGATCTAGAAGGTCATTGGACAGTTTGCATTGCAAAGACTAAGGTCCTGCTAGCCCGCCTCCTGGGCCTGCAATGCTCAGGGTCTCTCTCCTTGGCAGCCTGGAGTCACCCCACAGAGGACCCCATCCTGTGACCCCGGGCTGGGTTGTTCCTGGGTGGGAAGCGCAACCCTCCTGGGGACGCCCTGCGTGTCAGAGCAGAGCGGTGCTGCAGGGCGTTTGCAGTGTTTGTTCTTCTGGAATTAGATCCGAACGTCTTTCTTCTGAACCACCTCCGGGTGAACTCGAACCTTTGGGTTAATCATTTCCACCACCCGTGGGATCCCTAAACCAAAGGAGTCACTAAACCAAAAAAATAAATAAATAAAAACCTCACTGCTGTCAAGTCAATTTCGATTCACAGCAACCCCTCCTTGGGTTTTCCAGGAGGTATCACTGCAGAAGTAGATTGCCCAACCTTCCTTCCCAGGAATGCCTGGTGGGTTTGAACTGCTGGCCTTCTGGTTAGCAGTCAAGTGCCTTAGGCACTACACCACTAACCCTTCTTAAATATCTCCAGCGTCTGTAGGGTACCATGAATTTAGTCAGAGCTAGAATTGGGGCCAACTCGATGGCACATAACAGCAACAACAGAAGCCCTGCTGGCGCCGTGGTGAAGAACTCAGCTGCTGACCGCAACGTTGGCGGTGCAGGCTGCGGGAGAAAGAGCTGGCGATCTGCTTCCAGGCAGATGTGCAGCCTTGGAAACCCTTTGGGCAGTTTGACTCTGTCCTACGGGGTCGCTGTGAGTCAGAATCAACTCAATGGCACACAACCCAAGTCAAAGCCTGGTTAGCTCTGTTCCTTATAATCGGCAGGAGTGGACATTAAAGGTGCTTCCTGGGTATGTCATAGCCAATGGCCTCCCCACAGGAGAGGCTTGGGGCACCGAGTAGGCCCCTGCGTGGGGTCAGGGAACAGCTCGAGGTGGGGCCCAGTTCCTTGGCTCCGAGCCCCAAGCCTGGAGGGAGGGCGGTAATTCGCCACCACAGTTGGATCTCAAGCAGTAGGGCTACAACGGGCCCCACCTCCACCCTTCCTCCCAAGCCCGCCCTCTAAAGCTACCAAGCCCCTTGGCTGGCTGATTATTTTACAGGGGTGGTTGCCTCTGCCTCTCCCCGCTTTGCCTCTGCTCTCGGCCAGAGTTCCAGCCAACCATCCTGCCTGGGTTCTGGAAGCTTCCCCATACCTGGACCCACACCACCGCCTCCATGGTCTACCCCACGTTCGAGCCCCACGACTCCTTCTCAGAGGACCGCAGTGACCAGTGCCTGGTGCAGCTGCTGGGAACAGGGTGGGTTTGGCTGACTCGACCAGTTCCTGCAAACCCCCAAGTGCCCTCCGTGGGTCCCAGTGGCTCTGCAAGTCCCAGTGGTCGAACCCCAGGGTCTGTGCAAAACCAGGCCCAGGTCCCACGGGAACTGATACCTTCCCCCGTCCCCCTGCTATTCTGGTTTTCCCCAGTCAGTGCACCACCAGCCTGCCTCTCCCACCCCTATCCCCACCCCCCATCTGGCCTGGCCCCGCCACACCACCCCCTGCACTCCACCCAGATCCTCCATGCCCGTCCTCGCCCAGGACTCAACACTTCAACCAGAGCCTTGTTTCCAAAATGCACACCCTCGTTCTCCGACAAAACCTGAACTCCTGCTGCCTTTCTGGGCCTGCCTGTCCCCAGCCCTTCCCCTGAGACCTCCTTTCAGGTTCTGAAACGCTCCTCCCACTTCAAGCCCTGGTCCAACCTGCCACTTCTACACACACACACACACACACACCTACACCTGTATTTCATCTGACATCCCTATTCATGCCCAGCTGGGTGTCAGGGAGCTACTAGGGACCCAATGGCTAGTGCAGGATCGTGCCCAGGGAAGATGCAGGTGGGAACGGAGTGGCTCCACACCCTCAGGTTCCTTTAGGACGCCCTCCCCTTAACAGGCCTCTCTTCTTCCCTCCTCAGGACAAACAGCAGCCAGCCCTGTCAGCTCTCGGACGCCTGCAGGACCCTCATGACCAGGCATGGCTGCTGGGACTACTGCCTGTCCCACCAACTGCTCTACTTCCTCTCCGCCAGAATGGTGAGTGCAGGGGAGCCCTGGCCCCTGGAGGAAAGGTTGCCCTATGGGGCGGTCCTACTCTGTCCCGTGGGGGAGTCGCCCCGAGTCAGACTGACTGGATGGCAACGGGTTAATGGCATTCCGCAGTCCCTGGGTGGTTAGCATGCGTGGTTGGCTGCTCACTGAAAGGCTGGGGGTTTGAGTCCAACCAGAGGCACCTCGGAGGAAGGGCCTGGCAGCGCACTTCCAGAACCTCATCCCTGGAAAACCTCAGACAGCACAGTTCTGCCCTGACACGCTTGGGGCGCCACTGGCTCAATGGCCACACAGTGTTGGGTGCTACACAGTGCCTCCGGATTTGCTCAGACATCAGGAGGGAGAAGGGGGAAGGAGCAGTCAGGCATCAGCCACGTCATAGAATCCTGCAAAGGACAGGGAACGATTTGGGAGTCTGTTGGCCTGCAAACCAGAGACAGAGCTTTGCCTGATGAGCTGGATCTAGGGTGTCAGAGAAACAGCGCCCCTAGGGGACAGAGTGGAACTGCATAGGATTTCCAAGGCTGTCAGTCTACGGTAAGCCAAAAACCAAACCAAACTCACTGCCATCAAGTTGATTAGACTGATAGCAACCCCTCCTTGGGTTTCCGAGGAGGTATCACTAGGGAAGTAGATTGCCCAGTCTTCCTTCCGAGGGGTGGCTGGTGGGTTTGAACCGCCAGCCTTCCAATTAGCAGTCAAATGCCTCAGGCACTTGTTTTGTTTTGTTTTTTTTTAGGATTTGGGTGAAGATTTACAGAGTAAATTCACTTTTCATACAGCAGTTCACATATACTTTGTCTCATGTCATTGACCAAAATTTACAATGCAGCAGCTCCCCTCCCACTTCCTCCCCATAGTTACCTCCTCCCAGTGTCCATCCCTTCAAACTCTTCTGCACCCTGAGCTATCTCCCTGTGCATAAGCAGCCCTTCCTTCTCCCATGATTGTTCTCTCCAGGGCGTGTGTCTACTTGAGGTAAATGTTTTAACTCACATGCCTCAGGCACTTGTTAACAGAAAAGCAACTTGCTGATTATATTTGACAGTTTATTATTATTATTTATAAGCAAACTGCCCAGACCAATATTTTTGTAAAATACAATAAAACTGAGTTATAAGGAAATTGAATTATTAGATTCACCGGACAGTAAATGATGGTAACAGGTGGCTACAGATGTTTCTAACCCTTCTCACAGCTCCTGTCCTTCTCATGGCACAGGCCAGGGACCAGCCCCGGCCTGCGGACCATGCTGTGACTAGCATTTGGGGGATCAGTCCCAAACCACGATGCACTGTAGCAGCGGACATTCTAGAACTCGTCCCAGGGTCGTGCAATGTGCTGGGCATTTCCTGGGCGTTGCTTCACCCGCTCACACGAGACAGCCTCGAGTTCAGCTCCTTTGGCATCACCTTTGAAGATGACAAACCTCCCCGCCTCCCCCAGCTCAGAATGGTTAACTCCTCTGGCCAAAGTCACACAGCTCATGAGTGGCAGAGGAAGGACTCAAACTCTGCTCCCTCTGACCCAGAGCAGTGCTCAGTGACAGAGCCCGACAAGCTGGGCATGGGGCAGGGGTGCGGGAAGAAATTCCAAGAAAGGGGGTGGGCCTGCCCTGCACGCAGCCACGTGCAAGGCCACATGCAAGAGCACACAGAACCTCAGGCCTTTCCCACAGCACTGGCAGCGAGTGGCTGTCATTGGTACTGACCCCCCTTGTCTGGATGTCTGTCCCCAGGTAGGGTGCACGAAGGGGCTGTTCCGCCACAGCCAGCACTACTTGGACGTCTTCTGTGCCAACATGATGGACCTGAACCGCAGAGTTGAGGCTGTCGGCTACGCCTACCCGACCCGGGACCTCTTCATGGAAAACAGTGTGCCCCACGTTCCTCTCTCCCCGAAAGCAGCAGGGTGTCTCTGATTTGGGGCATTCGCGCACACACACACACACAGAGGAATGCATGTGCATATATGTACACACACGTGTGTGTATGCTTGGGCAGACTGTGTACATACTGTGCACGTGTGCACATGCGCATGCACACATGCACACGTAGAGGTGAACACAGAGACATGCGCCCGCAAACATATATGCATGCACATGTGTGTGCAAACGTGCAACGCACATCTGCAGTGCAAATATGTGCGTGCACACATATGTAAATGTGTGTGTGCGCACAAACATGCACACATGTGTCCATATATGCACACACACACAAGGTTTCCAGATACAACAAATAAAAATATCAGATCCCCAGCTGAATTTCAGTTCCAGATAAACAACCAAACTAGTGTTTAGCATAAGTGTAACTCAAGTACTGCATGGGATACATTTATACAGTGAAACCTGTGAGAGGACAGGACTGCCTTGTTTTCCAGATCCCCCAAGTTTTCCACCTTTGACAGGGCGCAGTCTTACCACTTCTCTGTTGCTGTTTTGGTAGAAAATATTTGCATTTTCCTTCTCCAGCAGGTTTCCACCTTACACAGGTTCCGGCTCTTGCAGGTTTGACCGGAGTAGAAAATGACCCATTGTCTATCAGAAACTCCAGTGGCAATGGGGTCCCGTGTTTCACCGGGCAGCCCGAGCACAGAGGCTGTCTTCTCTACCACCGTGTGACTGCTGCCTGCCCCCAAAAGGCTGGCCCGGTGATGGAGCAATGGACAGACTAACTGACCAGCTGCTGACACACAGACTCTGAGAGACTTAGAGATGAGGCCAAAAGGGAGGCCCTGGGTTAAACACCCAGTTAAACTGGAGTCTCAGATAAACACTGGATCGTTTTTTAGTGTAAATGTGTCCCATGTGATACTTAGGATATATTAGATACTTGGCTTGAGTATCCAAATCTCTTTACCGACCCCAACTCTTGAGCAGCTACAATGAGGCCCTGAGCAGGAGGCAAAGCACAGATCCAGGAGCCCCTCGTCGCTGAGACAGAGCCTGGGGCTGCCGCTTTCCACCACTGCCACCTCCTGAGCCCCCTGGGGGAGGACGCAGGTGGCCCTGGGTGGCTTTGGGGAAGGGGAGGAGGTGTGCCTGGGAGCAGACCTGCAGGGGTCTTCCTGTCTTTACTTCAGTCATGCTTTGTGGCATCGCTGGATTTGCTGACTTCTACAAGCTGCCCTGGCTGGAGGCCATTCTCAGCTGGCAGAAGCCGAGAGAAGGATGCTTCGGGAAGCCTGGTCAGTTGTGCTTCACCCTGGTGGGGGGGGGGGGCTGGACTGCACGTTCTAGGCAGGTGGGGAAAGCATGCAGCGTGTTAGGGGTAGGGAGAGAGCTTGCAACACAGGGGCCTGCACGCACACACAGCTGGGAATGGGCTGGGCGCTTCGGAGGCCTGGATGATGCAGGAGGGGACGCCATCTGCCTGGAAGACGTTCGATCCCCTGGGCCTGCGTTAGCAAATTCAGTCTCAGGACAAAGGCCCTTAGAAAGCCTATGGGCCTGGAACTGAACTTACCCCCAGCTCAGCTTTCAGCTGGACAACAGACAAGCCTGTAAGGCAGTGACACCAGGGATGAACCTCTGCTTAGAGCAGTCAGCTGCAGGAGGTTCCAGCATCTGCCAGGACATAGCTCAGAAGGCAGACAGGATAGGAAAGGATGAAGGGAAAAGGTAACCGCAGGGAGGAAGTGGGAAGAGAGCTGTTCCATGTGGGGACTGCAGTCAGCTTCAGGAAACAGAATGAGTACGAGTTGTGAAATGGGAAACAAATTCGCTCAGTAAACTTTCACCCGAATCACAATATAAACAAAGGAGAGGGGGTTAATAAAATGCAGAGTTTCGGCCCCCACCCCATCAATGAGCAGGTCGGGGTGAGGTGTGGAAGCTGCATCATCGGAAGCCCCTCCAGTGGTTCTGACGTGGGAGGTGGGCCATCACAACCTGAAAAACCATCAGGAGACGGCAGGGGCGACCAGGCGGAAGGACCTAAAGATGGGTGTGGGAGGAAACTCCTGGAAGAGCCTCAGGTTACCCCCAGGTTAAGGGAGAAGACCTGAGAGGCCCAAAGGGCCTCAGGGGTTTGTGACAAAGTCTGAAAGTCCCTGGAGAAGTTGACCTGCGACCCCTCTCCTCTCTCGTCATCCCAGCTCCTGAAGAAGACACATTATTTCAAGCCACTCAGCACCAACAGCATTTTTTGAGAAGAGTGAAGAGGCGAGAAAAAGAGTTTACAGGTAATGAAAAGACCCAGGGGACTTTCACGGCACAAAATGGAAGCGCCCCAATGAGGCGGCAGGAGCCCTGGTGATGCAGTAGTTAGAGTGCTCGACCACAGACTGAAAGGTCGGTGGTTTGAACCCACCAACTGCTCTGCGGGAGAAAGGCTTCCGTAAAGATTGACGGCGTTGGAAACCTGTGAGGCAGTTCTACTCTGTCCTTTAGGGTTGCCATGAGTCAGAAGGCACTGGAAGGCAGTGGGTTTCATAGATGAGTGGAGCACTCCGCTGCTAAATTGAAAGGTCAGCTGTTTGAACCCACCAGCTGTTCCAAGACAGGAAGATGAGGCAGTCTGCTTCCGTGAAGACCGACAGCCTTGGAGACCCTGTGGGCAGTTCCACTCTGTCCTCTGGGGGCGCTGTGGGTCAGAATGGACTCCAGGGCAGTGGGTGTGATTTTGGTTTTGGTTTTGAGGGTAGCAGGTGGAAGCCTCTGGTTATTTTCTTCCATACCCAGGACTGAACAGAAGACAGCCCTCTGTGGAAGACAGACCCTGGCATCACTGAAGGGGCACAAATTACGGGTGGGAGGCAGAGGGAAGGGGCGTCGCTGTTACCAGCGCTGTTGAGTAGGTCTCTGACTCAGGGTGACCCCAGGCACAAGGAACTAAACCCTGCTCCTGCACCACCCCCATAATCGGTTACAAAGGAGACCAGTGCCCCATGGGGTCACTGGCTGAGCTGTGGGAGTGGATTGCCACACCCTTCTTCCAGGTCGGTCTCAGTCTAGAAGCTCTGCTGAAACCTGTCCACCATGGGTGACCCTTCTGGGATTTGAAATACTGGTGGCCTAGCTCCCAGCATCACAGCAGTAAAACACACTGACAAGTGGGGGGAGTCATTTAGGGAAGGGGTGTAGCCTCCCAAGGGATGAGGCTATAATGGGCTGGAAACCATTTCCTGGAGAAGGGAGGC